AGAAGTCTGAGACGCACATTTTAAATTGCAGGGACAGCACTTACTATGAAGACATTATTGGAAATAGTGTCTAGAGGGCAACAGGAGTGTGCTTAATCCTTTTTTTTTTTTTTTTATTCTGAAAACTTAATTTTTTAAAATATATTTTATGTCATACATAGGGTCTCAGTGCACTGAAAAAAATATATTGGTGATTGGTTTTACTGCAGTATTAGCTGGAGATGCAATTCCCATTCACAGAAAAGCCTCTGACTGGGGATAAATAGTGCTTTATTCACAGCATATGTTGATATTCAAGCGATGCTGACTTTGGACCTGTGAGTATCTGGTGGTTCTGATAAACCAGCCCACAGCAGCTCCCGTGTTACGTGTGAGGCTGCTCTCGGCCAGTGTTGGTGAAGTTGAGCGAGAACTTGAGCTAACCAATCCTGTGAAGGTAATTAGGTTAATTGTATTAAATTTTGAGGAAAAAGTAAGGAAACATCACTTGTGAGGTTAAAGTATTGAACATGTTTGGGAAAGAGAAAAAGCCAGTTTGTAAGAAAGAGCATTTATGAAATGCCTTGCTTGTACCTGTGTATTCAGGCACGGTGATGGCTTGTAGAAAAGCATTTGCTGAGTGTGGAAATGGTAAACATCTCCAGCAGTTGTTTATTTGAGAAGATAACACTTGAAGGTGCAGCTAAATATGCTCCTGAGGCCTTTCTTCAGCCATAAAAAGCTCCTTATTTTTACTCAAACTATATTTTGCATTATTTCCCGGTTTACATCACAGATATCAAGCTTACTGTTTACTTGAAACCTCAACAAAGCAGAAGATGTTTTTTTCTCTTCAAAATGGTGAGAGAGTATTTTACTACTTAGGTCATTTAACTCAGTTATAAATTACAAAATGTGAGATATAACTAATCAGAGAAAGCAGTTCAGTATTATGAAACCACCCTTAAGAAAAGTAATTGTCCCTTAGGTTTCCATGCTTTCTCGAAACTTGAGTTTCAAAAATCACTTCTACTTAGAGCAAGAATCCAAGACTCCTCAATTTATTAGCGAAGACAGTCTTCCAGCCAACGTTTCATATTGTATCTTTTCCTTCACTCACCCTGAGCAGTGCCATAATACCTGAACAGCTATCCTGAATTTTAGGAAATACTGATCTTTGCATATCAGTTATGGTATTCTTTACAGCTCATCCATGTTTAATAGAATTGAAGGGAGGAAAGCTGCTGAATGGCTATTAGCTTAATGAAGAAAAGCCATTCTGAAATTCTTGTTAAATTTCAATTAGTGTACAAATAAACTGAGATTTAATTACATTTTTAATTAAAGAAATAGCTATTGATTATGTCATTGAATATGTGTTGTAGCCAGCCCTAACAAATAACAATATTACAAGAGATCATTAAACTAATTGTTAAATTTCCAAGTGAATGAGAACTAGAGCTGGTGTGAATAAAAGATACAGTGATGCTGAGTGGAAGAAAAAGATAACTGAGTGAAAAATACATTAATTTCTAAAAGTTTGGTTACTGATGGTTTTATATGCTATCGTAATTTATTTTTATCTATGGAACACAAGGAAAACAAAACCAGAACAATTTTTAAATAAGAAACATGGGTAAAGTTTTGTCTTGGGTCTTGAAAGTGAAGAGGGATTCCTGAGATCAGACGATATTTCTCGTGAGCCTTATGTGAAGCACGATGTAATCTGTCATATGTGGGAGGCCTCTGATCGCTCAGGGGGTGTTCAGATCTGCTACACAGAGTGACAGAAAGGACACATGAATGCCACTAGGTCGGAGCAGTAACAGCATGGCACTACCAACATACAGCCGTAGGCAGCTGTGGTCGAGCTGGCTGCAGGGCACTGGCAGCTCACCCTGTGTTCGTCCTGCGGCCGTCCCACCACCGCAGCATTGATCCTCTCCCAGGCCCACGGTGTGGGTGCCTGGTGGCAGACAGAAAGCTATTTTCTGGACACTGGTGATAGAGAGCGGGTGTGGAAACCCCAGCTGCCTGCGTAAATCTGTACGGCCACGTTTTGTCCGTGGAGGTTCCCCATTCGTGTGTGCAGGTGGCACTGCCAGCTGGATGGGTCTGTCCTTCACCAACACCCCTTGGCTTGTGTGAAGCTGTTAGTTGATGCTCTCAAGAAAATATGTCCTAAATTTGTTTTAGACTTAATCTGAAAAGTTTGCAGGCTGATCATGCTGTTAAAGGCTGGATCCTTTCTCTCCTTGTGGTTCCACCTTTACTGCTGAAAGGATCTTATTGAAGTATTTTATTAGAGAGGGGAGTAGCCCCCGTGGGTGGATATTGCAGCGGCACATTGCTGGTGGCTGAAAGCTGCTCTGAACAGCGAAGTATAATAGAGGGATGGGGTAGATGATCTCATGGGTCTTTCTGTTCTGTCCGTTACAATTTCTGTGCATATAAAGCCGTTTTAATCCTTCCCATTCAAATGCATTGTATCCACAGAAATGTATTCTTAATAATGACACAAGGCATGCTGCAACATGAGCAAGCTTATAGTCAGACCCAGTGGGACTACGTTGTTGTTTGAAATACAGCATTTTGGAATTAAACCTTTCTTTTTGGTGCCAGATTTTATAGCTGAGCATATTTTGAATATTCTATGTATAATGCACAAAAATTAATTTGTTGAAAGACTGTGAGGGTTGTACAGATGTCAGCATGCAGGAGTGAGGATGTATTAGAGATATCTGTAACCCTCATTTGACCTTGTAGTTTTGTGGAGCGTGATCCAGTCTTCAGTGACCTTCCTTTCCCGTGACCTCTTCCTCTTTTAAGCGTGCAGCATAAACAAGGGGCAAATGCAAAGATGTGGAAGTGGCTGATGAGCTGCAGAAGTTAGGGGAAGTGTTTTTGGTAGAGGCATGAGCTCCCTTTAGGAATGAAAAGCAACATCTTGTGGTGAAAGCACTTTCCTAACTGTATTGCTACTATTATGTGTGTTGCTCATCTCACACTCAGAACCCAGATTACAAAACGTCTTCTGTGTCTAACGGGTGACAAGTAAAGAAGAAGGGATTGCTGAAATAGAAACTGAAGGGGTCAGATATAAACCTCAAGAGAGTAAAAAGGTTTAATGACCTGTAAGCAGGATTTACCAATGATTTGTACTTAGGTAATGGCATCACTGTTGTTTTTCAACACACAGGATACATTTTAGTTTATTTCAGACAGGCCCCTGCTACTGCTTAACTACAGAATATTGCGATTAGAGATGTAGTGACACTGTTGTTGCAGGATCGCTGCTGATAAATTATGGTGGGATGGCAGCTGTAAATACAGCTTCTCTTGTGATTTAAGAGGGAGATCTGAAGGTGTATCACCCAGATGCTGGATCAGTGGTAAATAGGGCCAGCCACAGCACGCTAAAGCTTAAAAGTCCGTGCCAGATTTTGGGATTAGAAGTCGTCGTTTCAAGCATTAACTCCTCTAGTATTGAAATAATCATTCACTCTGGCCCTCCTCTTCTCCTTTCTCTTTGGCCAAGATTTATTTACCTTTGTGACAGGAACTGACACGCAAACATTTTTTCAGTAATTTTTTGCAATACAAGAGCTTCTTTAGCAAGCTGCCAAGTATTCAGCGTCTGTCAGTGCCACAGTGCCATGCGACTTCATGTCATGTCCCCCATGACCTTCCCATTCTCCCGCTTAACTGGTCAGGAAATGTGCTGCTGCTGCTTGGAGCTGTGTAGTTGTACTAAAGGCTGGAGAAACAATAAACCAGTCGGTACAGATTAGCGTGAAAACACACACCAGCAGCAAAATCAACTCTAATCAGGATTCAGTTGACACAAAAGGGCATATAGCTCTGGCCACTCAGTCCCCTGCTCTGTAGGTGACAATCCTGCGCAGGTAATATTTGTAATGACTGATGAGGGGCAAGAAAAATTTCAGTATGCAACTGCTAACATTGCAGTGGTTTTAACCTGGCTCCTCTCTGAGAAACCCCATGTGTCCTGATCTGAAGGCTGATACAAGCTTGGTTATTTTTTCCCCGAAGTGAGAAATGAAAACAACGGCCTCTCCAAGATCTCCCTGGAATTCAGATTAAATGGGACTTGTATTTGCATTGGTACTAAGGATAAAATCAGGATTGGCAGACTGTGATGTGTGAATTTGCACGCATACAGGGACTCAGAACAAGAGTGAATCTCGTTAATTAAGCCAAGACATTTCAAATGGTCTGTGCCTAAAATTCAATCCTGTTCAGTAAAAGGGACTTTCTCTTGGGTCTCTTTAATGTCACATTCCATTTACAATTGCAATAAATGCTATAACTTGTTTCCCTCTCCCCTATCCCACAAAAAAAATGACGGAGAGGAATTTCTTGCTAAACCTTTGATAACGGTTCTTTCTTTCTCTTCCAGATAACTTCAAACGAGAAGCGCTCAGAGAGCCTGAAGAATGATGGCGATGCTCTTATCCAAACTCTAGAGAGTCTGGCCCAAACTGCCAGGTGAGTTCCCTCAGGCTTCCAGGAATTTCCAGGGCTGAGAGCACTCGCCCCCTCTTTTGTCTGTGATGGTCTTCTCCTGTAATCTCCTCCTGCGCAGTACAAGCTTCTCAGGTTTCTGTCCCTGGCCCCCCTCCCTGCCCTGCTCTCCTCCAAACTCCCCTCATTCAGAGCTTGCCGGCGGTTGTGCCGTGGCGGCAGCCTGCTTTGACCCCCAGCTGCGGCGAGCCGCAGTGTGCTGCGCAGTCCGGCTCAATGTGTGTGCACATAGGGCGACTTTTTTTTTTTTTTAGTTTATGATTTTATTCCAAACACTTGGCCTCTATAACCGGATACCGGTCAGTGGTTCTTGGCAGAGCGGGCTAGATGTACAATGTGGTGTTTATGCCCTGTTTTAAAGTAATTGTGTTAGGTGCGCGTGCAAGCTGATTACTTTCAAATGCTCAGCTAAAGAACAGAACTACTTTTGTTTAAGAATACCTGTGGCTTCTCTGAGAAGGCACAAGACTTTTGGGAATGCTGTGGCCTCCTCCTTGAGAACTGAAGTGCTATTTCCAACACATTGGCCAAAACTCATCTCCTGTAGGCTCTCTCTCATCTAATCCCCCTTGGACATGTGAATGAATGAATTACTGTTCTCTGCCCCTCAAAACAAATTTTACACTCCTGCCATGGGCTGTTAGGCTGCATTTCACTCCTGGTAGAACTAAAATTCATAGAGAAATTGTAGTTTACAGATCAGTTTTTGAAACACTAAGATAAACTTTTCAGTGGTCTTTGTGCTCCCAAATGCAGGCTTTATATGTCAGGGTCAGCTGTTTGGGAAAATTGGCTCCTTGACATTCTGGCAGGGTAAACCCTGTGTTGGAAGGAAGCGGGATGTGGGCAGATGTGGAGAGGAAATGTTGGGACGTGGTGAGTGTAAGGAGATGCACGCCGAGGACTAAGCAAACCTGTCAAGAACAGACTGCATCCCTCTCGCATACTCAGCTGCTGACTCCTGGGTTTTCATATGACACATTAAATTATCTAACTAAAATAAAATGTCAGCTCTTCCCAGGGGAGACACTGGCACCACCACTGAAGATGACAGTGAGGAGAGACGGGGTTTTCTTCTTTTAGAACTAGTTTTCACTTTATTTTGTAGCGTGTCAGCGTTAGATACGCTAGACAGCCCAGTCGCTGTCTTTGAGTCTGCTTTTCTGGCTTCCTCCGATTATCTGTTATCTGCACATTTCCATACTCAGAAAACCACATACTACAGGGCCCAAAATAAACAGCACTCTCTTATTTGATACAAGATGCTCAGTAGACCAAATTCTAGCTGATGCCAATGACGAGTGTGTTGATGCATTGGGGTAAGCCAAGTTCCTTTGCTGTGCCGAGTTCCCGCACCACAGCATCAACAGGGGAGCCTCCAGGAGCTCATGGATTTAATTTCCCCTTCTCCCCTTCTTTGGGGAACGCATGTCCCTATCTGTTTGCCTCCAGAGGAATCCGAGAAGGATTCAGCCTGGATCTTGGGGTTGTAATGGTCTCAGACATGGATAAACTGGCAATGGTCAGGCAAGAGAAGCCTGGGGTTAGCAAGCTTAATCAGCTTTAGCTGCATGGCCATTTTGTTTATGGAGGCTATGGATGTTCTGCCGTCTTACGTGGCGTCTTTCCCAAAATATTCTTGGTGACCTAATAAAACATGGTCTCCTCACCTGCGCTTTGAACCCTGTTAAGAAACCTCTGTGTATCTCACACAGAGTTGGAAACATTTTAGAGAAGGCTACAACTGAGATCTTGGATCTAAGCCATCCTCTGAGTAGTCTAAACTCCCAGGCCCTTCCACCCACACATTATCACTGGGTTGAAGTGATTGAGGAGTGTTTTTGCTTTGCTCATTTTTTTTTTACAGATAGGTTTCCAATCCTCCACTCCGCCTGTGCAGCAGGAGGAGGAGACCAGTCAGGTGCTGGGAGAGGGGCGCTGCCTGGATTGCGAGCTGCTGTCGGGGCTCTCCTGCTGCCGTGTCGCAGCCGGGGATTGCCAAACTCCTGCTCTGTGACACATCCACAGCTAGTCAGAACAGGCAGTTCTGAGCATGACACATAACCAACCCGTTCTGCTTAGTAACTACGTGGAATCAAATCCACGTTTCAAAATGTGGGTTCGTAGCCATTTACTTTTCAGTGAAGACAGTTGCCATGACAAATTTGTTTCAGATAACTAAATTCTCTGGTTTAAACTGCTGCTTATTAAGATATTGGCTTAACATAGTGAGGCCTGATCACCTGGATTTCCTGGCTAGCTTCGCGTTTCCCAGAACATGGAGCGTAGGTCGGTATTTGTCATTAGCAGCAACAGAGGAAGTTGCAGATCGGTCTGCTAGTGGCCTTTCCAAGTTAAAGATGAGAGATGGTAGTTCGTTAAGAAAAAAAGCCTTGTTTCTGTGGACTAGCAGTAATGTGTTAGAGCCTCTGTTCCAGTGCTAGAAAAAACATGTGTTTCCAGAAGGAAAAAATAGGCAAAATACGTGTAATAAAAACTTAGGCAAGGAAGCAAAGGGGAAAGATCCCACCATCTAGTGTCAAACCTGCAGAGCTGTGTGTGGTGGGGCAGTTGGTCCTCCTTGCCAGGGATGGGCTACACATTGAGTGGATCTCCCTCCCTGCATGGAGCTGTGCTGCCTCACGAGGGCTGTGTCTGTGTAAACATGTTTTTCTGTCAAGCTGGAAGTGTGTATGTGTGTAGATCGAGGTGCGAGGGGGCATGATAAATTGTCTCCCTTCTACAGAGGAGATTGAGTGAGGTAGCAGTTACTGTGAATTTGAGCTGAAATACATGTTTACACAAGATTTGCTACAGAGCAGACTCGCTAGTTTGCATGTTGCTGCTTAACAGAATACAGTGCAGTTAATGGCTATTAAGATTTTTTTCCAGCATAGCTAAAGACAAATGTGGGATTTGAACAAAAAGTTTTCCCCTGAGACTGTCTAATAGATGTTACTGTTTTTAATTCCCAGTTCTCACGCTGATGTTGCTGTTGCTTCCTTGGCATTTGAAATTCTGAGAACGGTGGGACATGGAAATACCAAGACTACCAAGTGAACCGATTTTGGCTGGTGAAATGCGCAAGTTGCATGTGCTCCTCAGCACCTCAGTCCCGTAGGAACGTCTTCCAATGAGCAGAGCAGATGTAACCAATTTAGCAAGCCGAGCTGCAGCTGTGTATGGCCATACGTGTGACTTTAGGAGGCTTCAGGGAGTTTTGAGGGGGCTGCTTTTTGTTTTTTTAAACCTCTGTAAGGATGAATTGTTGATTACCACTTTACCTTGCTGGCATTATCTGATGTAGCTCAAATATTTGACAGCTAGAGTTTGAAAAGTGTAAATTAAATAAATAGGATAGTTATTTCACAATACATAAAGGTGTTTCAGTATTTTAAGCTGCTGTTAGAAAAGTTCATGTACGTTTTTTTGACCAGGTGAATGCCTTGGCTGTTCATCTCAAGGGGTCACTCCATGCCTTTGACTGGCAATATTCTTCATCTGTCTCACACATCCAGAACCAACCCCTGCAATCACGTTAGAGGCTCTGTACGTATGTGGCTTGTTTGCATGACAGATTTTTATCAGGTTTTTGCTCAGTAGGGCTTTTTTTTTGGGAGAACATGTGCCTCTCTTGTTGCCTAGCACTGCACAGCTTAAGCTGCATTGGCGGAGTGTCGTTCTCCAACACTTCTGACTGGAGCTCTTCTTTGAAAATAGGTGAGACAGTAAGCCTGGCAGTTTGTCATGTATCCCCAGTAGAAGTTCATACTCCAGGAAGCGTCCTCCAGAGCTAGCAGCTGCCACAGCATGTAAATAAGCTAATTTTTTTTCTCCCCATGTGCCCTGAGTGAGCACAAAAATCACTAAGTCTGGTACCATGACCACGTCATCTTTCTTTCAAAGCAGAAGCTGCGTGGTCCAGCCATACTTAGCAAACGCCAGTACCTTATTGAGAGTTGCTGCTACAAACCTGCTCTTGGACAGCCTGGTTCTCCAGAGTACATGTCCGGCTCAATGTGCCCCTCGGTAACCAAACACCCCTCGGTAACCAAACTGCCTTCATCTTGTGTGTTTTACAGGAATTGTTCTCTTATGTTACATTAAATATCACTCTTTTTTATAGCTGGACTTGGAGTTATAGAACTGGGGAAAAGCTAAGTGATTGCTATTGGTAAAGCATTTTATAGTAACAGTCTTACAGTGGGAGTGTGGCTGAGGAACAGAGCTGAATTGCTGGGCGAGACCTGCCCCTCTGCAGTTGCGGTGCCTTTGCTTTACAAGCAGAAGGGGCAGTCTGGTTTGTGGCTTCCTTCAGCTCTCAGCACCTTGGGATCCCAACTTGAGCCATGATCCTTTGCAGCCAAGACCCCCTCTGATCTCATGCTGGCAAACTGCTGCACTGAAGTACAACTGCTGGGGAGTGTTTGCTCTCAGCAGAGGCTGGCGACAGCTGCACTCTGCAGATGTGCACAGTCTATGAATTAGCCACCAGTGTAAGAACCGCTTTCCCTGCTTCTGACTACACGGGTGCTGCCTCCTGAGAAGGCATTACGCACACGTCCTGTCTCACACAGTGAGTGAAGGCTGAGAACACCTGAAAATAGGTTTAAGCTACTGGAGGAGCTAACAGTTTGTAAGCAAAGGATCATCACTGGACTCTACTGACAGCGCACATCTGAAGAGAGCTGAAGTAATGCACTGTTCTCACTTTTTGAAGCCCAGAAATTAAGCGTGGTTGCCTCGCATCTGGCTAGACCTGGCCCCATGCTGAGGAACCTGCCAAAGCAAAGTGGCAGCAAGTCAAGCGGAAGAATACTGCCTCAGCAGATGGAAGTAGGAAAAGGTTTGTCATTAAGACTTGGGGCTCCAAAGGGTACGTATCCCTTAGCAGGAAGAGAGGTGGATGCTTCTTGTGCAATTCCAGGGTGATTTTCAGAAAACTTCTAATGCACAAATATACTTTGTGATCTGAAATAATTTGACACAGAGTGAATTAAAAGTTTACTTTAATTTTGAACCATTTTATAACTGCATTTTTCTCATGAAGCATCTGTATCACAGCAGGCTACAATAACTTTGGGATAAAAGGCAACTGGTAAACTGTCCAATACAAGGTTCCAAATAAACAGTTCTTACTGGCCCCTACCCAGACATATCCCAGATAAAGTTTTTGATCAGAAACATGAAATAGATCCACCTGCTTATTTTAAGCATATTAAAAAGGAAACTAATTGGACCATTTCTATTCGTCTAGTTTTTTATACAAAAAGGCTACACAATGTTACACTTTATTCAGAATACAGTTAGAGCGATTATGAATTAGTGTTCTACACCTTTACTCAATCCTTAAAAATTAGAAACTGCTGTAGCATATTCACTATAACTTAATACTACGAGAGACTTTAAAAAAAACTAACAACAATTACTGCGAAAAGAAAGGCTACTTCCAAAGCAAGCAAGGTCAGTACCATTACAGAGATTTAAAAAAAATAATAAATTTTTAACAAGCAAGGCTAGGGTTTGATAAATTCCATCTTGCAATTCATTCTTGTGCATTCTTCGTTTCTTGAATCACTCCCAAAATCCATTTGTATTATTACTCCTCGACCAAAAAGGACCAGAACAAAAAGTTTACTTCAATTGTTCCCATAGGAAACTCAGCTTGGTTAGTGTGTCAGGCACTTTCTGAGATACTAGCCCACCCCTCGAGCCCTCTCAGCAACTCTACAGGCCAATCAATGCAAGTTCATTCAGATGATACAGCTGCAAAGAGAAAAAAACAGGTGTCAGTGCTCCCGAGTACAGGGCTGTTGTCTCACATCAAGACTGCATGAAGCCAGTGCACAAGACATTACAGTTAATTACTTCCACACCTCACGGCAGAAGTCAGTTCAGACTGTACTGATCGTATGTGTCCAGAGCGTTCAGTCACTGTTCTGGCACACTGGGACCCAATTGAGCCAATCCCTCCCTGCCAACCAAGTCCAGTCATCTGTTTTTCTCCTTTTGTTTTGTTTTTAAATTCAAGGTTGGAGCTTCTTACCTAAAGGATGATTTACAGGTCAGTATCGAACCAGGCCAACTGATTACTGTCACCTGGAGGCAGCCCATCCATAAGGTCCTGGGCATGGCCAAGATCTGGCAGACCATCAACTGGGTAGTCAGCACCAGGGTGGTGGCCACCCATTTCATGTTCCATCATAGGGTCCATACCCAAGGCATCCTGACCGTATCCGCCAGAGTGGAAAGAACGGTAGCTAGGATCTAAGAAAGTTAAAGGTGGCAGAGGGAAAAAAAGCATAATGTTAACAGATGTTAGATGCATCAGAAGCTGCAAGTATCAGTGTGTGAGAAGATCATTGTAGCCATCTACTTTTTCTTCTAGTTCAGCCAAGTTCAAAACAATCTGTTGCCTGCCCTTAATGGCTGTTCCATTGTTCGAAACAGCCTTCCAGTAGGATTCTGCAGACAAAGCACACTGCAGTCAGAAGCACGAGCAGATTCCAGCCAAGCCATTAGTCTGCACAATCAACAGTACTAAAATTCAACAATACTGCAGCAAAACCAGGCTCCAAGACTGTAGACTTGCTTCTGAAAGACTAGTCAAAAATAGCTTAGAATCCTTAGGGATAGGCTTGCGTTCAAGTCTGTAGACACTTACAGACTAACACATTCAATACCAGCTTTTGTTTTAAAGCAAAACTGTGCTATTGGAATTGTCAAGTCCATTTGTAAAGAATTTAAAAGATTTCTGGAAACAACAGCTCAGCAGGAGATTCTCCCACAAGACTCAGGCAAGAGACACCACTTTTGCACGTTCCTATGTCTCCCATTTCAGTGCTGCCAGTGGTGTTGCAGGAACTGGTTATTTGAACTGGCAGTTCCCCATCTGCCTGTCAGTTTGCAATACCTTGCTGAAGAGTAATTCACTTTTCACTCATTTGCAAGTTCTCCTTTAAAATCTATGACTTGACTTCATCCAACTTAAGTTTATTCAAAGGGAACAAGAAGAGA